AGTAGGAAACCATTTTGTACTGCTTTTACTGCACCAGCTAGTGCATGTTTTCTAGCTCCTTTCAAGGTCTTCCTGCCTCTTTCTACGATTCTCCCTGGAAGTGTCTCACATGTGATTGCAAACAAGTTCTCTCAGCTCCTGCTCACTTTCTAAGGCTATAATATTAGTCAGGATCTGACATTGTAGTGATCATATCTTAACACTTGTCAACTCTGGAGCTATGCCAAGGAACAACTTTCTGTAAGTGTATTCTTTAAGTTGGGTTATTTTGAATAGTATCTATGGATGATAAGTGAGAAGGGCTTGGTTTGCTCAAATTATAAGTCAAGCTACATCCTTAATATCCAAACCTGTATTCAGCTAAGGAAGGAAACTGAGTCATAGTTACCTACTGCTGAAAAATGACATTCTGCCTTATAGGAATGGGAACCACTGATCTCTGCTAATGGACAGGCGCAAGTTCCCTAAGTTAATAGAGGTAGTCAAAGAATGCGGTGGTCAGAATTCTCTAGAACCTTGTAGAGAACTGGAAAAGAGTAAGGTATCAATGTCATATATTTATTTACTCAGACATGTTAACATTGTACAACCTTTTCCCCCCTTATTTTAGACCCTGCCCACTTATACTGGAATTTTGGGTTTCAATATACAATACCCACTTGAGGATCCTACAAAATTTTAAATAAGACTCAGTGGGAAGGAAATTATTATCAGAAAACACAAATTTGGTCCCAACCAAAACCATGCCAGAAACAGACTGAGCGACAATTGAGAAAGTCTTCAGAAATATGACAGGTGGACTGGTAGTGAAGTAAAAATTAGAATTCTGAGTCCTAAAGGCAAGCATGCTTAAACTACAGAAAATTTATTGACCATTTTGCAGCAGAGCATTCTAATAAGAAAGGCTAAATAAAGGCTAAATGAAGGGAAAACCTCAGATGTTAATTACAAAATGCATCCCTTTCTCAACAGTGGAGTGTCAGTAATAGAGCCTCTAGGACAGCCGAAATTAAATAAACAGATTGTTAAAAATTTTCTGTGTCAGAAAATTTGAGTGAAAACTGGTTAGGTTTATCTTCAGCATCTATTTTTAAGAAACAGCAGCTAAGAATATTGCTCTTTGTTGCCTCCAGAATGCATGTAGAGAGGCTGAATTTAGGCTGAGAGAAGAGAGTAAAATTTTCGTGAATAAGAGCAAATGCCTAATAACCTTCACTTCACTAGATTTTGCTAACTGGTTGCCATAGTCTGGAGCTCTGTGTGTGACTCAGAAAAATTCAATCACTGAATTAGCTCAAAGTTTTGTGGCCTGTAGAAATGGACACTACATGGGGAACCAGCAGTTAGCGTAATGGCTATGTCGCTGGACTCCCACGTAGTCGACCGCGGTTCGTGTCCCGGACCCGGTGGCTTAAAACTCACGCCGGGCGCGTGTGCATGCGTGCCCAAGATCCCGAGAGGAGAATGGAGGAGAAGGGATTGCGGCGTGACCATCCCCCCTGGGGGGTGATTTCTCGCTTTCTGTCTCTATGTCTCTCTCTGCCTGTCTGGCGAGCGCACGCGCCCTACAGTGAAAATCTCTCCAAAAAAGAAAAAAGAAATGGACACTACATGAAGTGGTTCTTATGCTCAAAACACCTTCACATTCTTTTTGAAAATAACATTGTGGCAAAGGGACAGGGGCTAATGTGGGGGCTGCTGCTTATGGTACCCTCCCTTTGAGCACCACAGGGCCAGACTTTCTTGTTCTTACTTAGCATAATGTTCTTCCTGTGAGAAATCAGCCCAGAAGTGGGTTTTCCAACCTTCTACGTACCTTGCTTATCCTCTCCTGCCTTTTGGTTCTTTCGTGATTTACAGGCCCTTTGATTTACTGTTGTGTGGGGAGCTAATGGAGCTGTGTTATCACATGTGTCTTTGCAAAGATTTACATTCAACAAAGGAGTAAAACACCCACATCATGCTCTACCCAAGCCATATGCCCTAGGTAAAAGGCTTTTCTCGACCCAGTTCTCTTTTCAATCCAGCTGCCTTGGAATCACTAGGAATTTCCTCTCTGTCCTTTATTTAGCTAAATCTGCTTATCTTTAAAAGCTCTACCTTTTCCAGGGAGTCATTTTTGGTTACTGTAATATAAAATGTTCTCTCTCAGTTAAAATTATACACACATACACACACACATTTATATATATAATGTCTTATATGTAACACACACGCACACACAAACATGTGTGCATACATACACATGTATACACACATTTTCCTGATTGTTACTGCTTTATTGCCCTTTGTTTCATGGATTTTTTTTTTCTCTTTCAGTCATTCTTTATTTACAGTTTAATACAAATCAATTCTATAACATGAGAAGTGACTAAGAATCAAAGCATAAATACACAAACACAATATACAATACAAAATAGACTTACAGCATTTGGGTATGAAGCAAAAGGGAGTATTCATTCACAAACACAGTAGCTTCAGATCGGTTTAATCTAGTTATTCTCATGTAGGTTTCTAAAGATGTGGGAAAATGACATTGTTATCAAGACTACTATGGCTACATTAGATATTGGAACAGAACCTAAGCATCAGTGTCACCATGCGAACAAAATACTTCAGGGGAGTGTATTTTTTAAAAAAATTTTGCTGTCATAAAAGATTTATTTTATAGAATAAAACCCACTTGAGCTTTTATCTAAAAATATTGACTCATAACAGAATGTGTTCCAAATGTGGCTATTCTGATCCATAAGTTAAAAAAAAGTATTTACAGAAAGAGTATAAAAGTTTCTGTGAATTTAATGCAAGTTAGCTTCCGTTCTTCGCTTCCCAAATACTTGATTTGGAGTTTTGGCACCTTCACATATTTGCCTTTCTCATTTCAAGATTTGTAATTCTACCTTTAAAACAGATCATTTTTTAAAATGTAAAAAGTTTTCAACATATGCAGAAATAAAAAGCGGTATTTTTAAATTAGTTGAGGCCAACACAATTCTATTCTTTTAAAATAGCTTTTAAAAAGTTTAAGTAAACGAATTGGGTGCTCTTTATCCAATAAAAATAGGTGATAGAAAATGCCTGCCATTTGACTTTATAAGGTTAAGCAAGATTTGGGGCCGGTGGGTGATGTGGTGGTTAACGATGCTGGACTCCCACATGGCTGACTGAAGTTTGAGTCCTAGACCTGGAGACTTGGTTTCTCGCTTCCTCCCTTCCTCCCCTCTCTCTGTTCCTTTCTGGTCAAATCAAATAAATAAATAAAGTTAAACAATTTTTTTAAAAAATTAAATTTTATTTTATTTATTCATTCATTTATTTTAATTTGATGGGGGGGGTGAGAAAGCAAGTCACCAGGTCAGGGACTCTAACCATGGTCAGCTATGTGAGAGTGTCCAGTGCCCTAACCACCATGCCACCTGCTGTTCCCAGTTAAATAATTCTTAAAAAAAAAAAGATTCGCCCAATATGCTTGGACTTGGGAATAGATTTCAATTCATCATTGCCCTGGCATATCTCAATTACTACATAACACATCAAATGCAATGTCAAACACAAAGGGTTAAATTCCTCAGAAAGTAGTGATAACTTTACAGTGTAAAACTTTATTTAGAGTATATCGACATTAAATTAGTACTGCTGAAACAGGATCCAGATAACACCGGGAATTCCTTCTAATGTACATATAAATAGAATTGAATCATGGAAACTTTTCATATTACCTACTTTATGGCCTTATAGACTGAATGAACCAAATGAAAACTGAATTTCCATTTTACATCCCATTTTTTATCTCTGGATAAGATAAAATATATAATATATATGTTTCCCTGGATTTTTCATCAGCATGAGTTAAAAAGTAGCCTTTTTAAAAAAAGAACAAACTTGATTGATATTTTTATATTTGACAACATCTTTAAAATGTGGACTACAAAAGCAAGTGCTTTTACATAAATATAAATGGAAAAAATAATAAAAAAGGCATATTGTTTGAGTCTTGATGCCTAATATAGAAACGACAATTTAGGTACCCATGTCCATATTTCTTTTCTTTTTTTTTTTTTTAAAGAATGATTTAATTTAATTTTATTCATCATCATTATCATTATTTTTTAATTTGACCATAGAGAGATAGAAAGTGAGAAAGCAAGCTGCCAGGTCTGGGACTCAAATTGTGGTCAGCCTTGTGGGAGTCCAGCATCTTAACCACCACACCACCTGCCAGCCCCATGTCTATATTTCTTTTATTTTATTTCTTTTTTTTTTTTGGAGAGGTTTTCGCTATAGGGCACGTGCGCTCGCCGACCAGACAGAGAGAGACATAGAGACAGAAAGCGAGAAATCACCCCCCAGGGGAGATGGTCACGCCGCAATCCCTTCGCCTCTCGGGATCTTGGGCACGCACGCACACACACCCTGGTTTGAGTTTTAAGCCACCGGGTCCGGGATGCGAACCTCGGTCAATACGTGGGAGTCCAGCGACAGCCATTACGCTAACTGCTGGTTCCCAACCCATGTCCATATTTCTTAAGCCACATTCAAAGAAATCATGTCTTAACTAATTTCAAGTGATGTCTCTTCATTTTATGCATAGAACTCCGACAGATTTAACATTGGCATTCATCATTTGGCCACGTCCTTCACATGTTCTTCAAATTAATCAAATTTGAGATACTCAGCATTTTATGTGCAGATAAAATAGGTGTGGGATTAGTAGATTCGATGAAGATCTGTTTTTTTTCCCTTGCCATACTGACTTCTAGATGCCATTGGAATGGGTTTAAAAGATGAGGAAGTGTAGATGTTTCTTGGCCTGAGCTTCTTTCTTAAATAATTATTTAATTTTTCTTCATTCACTCATTCATTCATTTTAACTTGATGAGAGAGAGAGAGAGCGAGAGCGAGGAAGCCAACAGGTCCGGGACTTGAATCGTGTTTGGCATGGGAGTTAGAGTCCAGCATCCTAACCACTAGGACACCTGCTAGCCCCTGGCCTGGGTCTTCTAACAGTAGAGATGAAGAGAAAGCGAGATCACAAGGAGACTGGCTGCTGACTGCAGGGCACTGCCAACGGCCTTGGTGGTGGCATTAGCTGGATTTGGGGCAGCTGAGGTATTCTGGGAGGAGTTACCTGGAAGTGTTACGACGGTTGTTTGATTTGAATAAATCTGCGTGGGTAGGAGAGGTGCCAGCAGCATCAGCCCCAGCCCCAGCCTGGCCATCGCTCTCCTCATGTCCAGTCAGTCAGTGTGCGACTGTCTTGCTGGATACTGAGTGCTTTCTGAATCACTGGATCTGGCGCAGGCACAGACAAGGTAGTTTCTTTCATGAATCTTTTAAACAATGCACCTTTAAGGATTAGCAGATGGCATAATGGTTACGTCGCTGGACTCCTACACAGTTGAAGGTTATTTGAATCCCTAACCTGGTGGCTTAAAACTCACACTGGGTGCGTGTACACACATGCCAAAGATCCCAAGAGAAGAAAGGAGGAGAAGAAATTGCAGCATGGTCATCCTCCTTGGGGTGATTTCTTGCTTTCTGTCTGTCTCCATCTCTGGCAAGTACACACGCCCTATAGCAAAAATATCTCTTTCAAAAAGAAACGTACTGGGACCAGCAGATGGTGTACTGGTTACATTGTTGAAATTCCATGTAGTTGTCCAGGGTTTGAGACCTGGACCTGGTGACTTAAAACTCGGGCTGGTGCATGCTCATGCCGAAGATCTTGAGAGAAGAATGGAGGAGAAGGGATTGCAGTGTGGCCATTCCTCCTGTGTGGTGATTTTTCGCTTTCTGTCTCTCTGCCTCACTCCATGTCTCTGGCAAGTACACATGCCCTGTAGCAAAAATCTTAAAAAAAAAAAAATGTACCTTTAGTTGTACAGTTTTGTGGGATACTATATGGCTTTTCAAAGCATGCATATAGTGTGCAATAATCAAGGATATTTTCATATTCATCATCTTCAGCAAAGAATCTTACACTGTGTTGTCTACACACACACACACACACATACACAGACATATATAACTGTCAGTGTCTTTTTTGCCATAGGGCATGTGTGCTCACCTGAGAGAGACAGAGACAGAAGGAGAGGGAAAGTGAGAAACTACTCCATAGGTAGAGCCACACCACATTCCCCTTTCCTCCATTCTCCTCTGTGCTTTTGGGCATGCACACACAGCTGAACGGCTTGTTTCTCAAGCTGCTTGTTCAAGACTCCAACGTGGAGTTGGGCATGTGGGATCCAGCACCTTAACCACCACACCACCTGCTGACCCTCCTTTTTTTTTCTTTGCTTTTACCCTTTTATGGTATCCATACCTTATTTGCCTTGTTTACATACAAGTAAATGTTAATTTTATTTTTTCTGTTAAATGTTTTTTCCTGAACCCCACATGGATTTTTTTTAATCCTCTAGCTACCATGCAAAATCTCTGAGAATAATTTAGCAGCTCAGCATTGGATACTTGCTTTGAAACACAGATTCCTTCCTTTGAGTCAGTGCATAGTATTTTTGATCTCTTTCTCATTATCTTCTTTTGTGTTCTCCATAGCTCTTGTCACTATCTGAATTATCTTGTCTCTTGCTCAGTGCTAGAGTAAGACCTTCAGGGACTGAGGCTCTGAAAATATTTTGACAATCATTTACATAATAAACACAATTCTAAAACAGGTATGTACAAAGGGCTAGCCGTTTCTAACCCCCAACCCAATAATTTCTATTTTGATGATTTTTTTTTTTTTTGGAGAGGTTTTTGCTATAGGGCGCATGCGCTCACCAGACAGACAGAGACAGACAGAAAGACAGAAAGCAAGAAATCACCCCCTAGGGGGGATGGCCACGCCGCAATCCCTTCTCCTTTCTCTTCTCGGGATCTTGGGCACACACGCACACACGCCGAACATGAGTTTTAAGCCACCGGGTCCAGGATTCGAACCGCAGTCGACTACATGGGAGTCCTGCGACATAGCCATTATGCTCACTGCTGGTCCCTATTTTGATGATTCTTAAAAAATATATAGGATATATCAAATTCCTTCAAAACTTATTTTGGTACACCTGATTTTGTTGTTACTCAGGACAGGGCTGTCAGTAGAATTATCCACCTGTTTCCTACACTAGAGGAGAAGGCATTATGAGAGTAGAAAACAATCTTTTTTCCTCCATTCTTCCCCTGAGAGTTTGGGCACACAAGCAGAGCGCCCAGCGTGGGTCTTAAGCCACTGGATCTGGGACTTAAACTGTAGTTGGCCTTGTGGGAGTCCAGTGCCTTAACCACTACACCACCTGCTGGGCCCTAGAAACATTCTTTTGAACAGTGGGTCTGGATTCTTCAACAATGTCAACACCATGCAGATCCAAAAGAGGTACAGTAACTATTTATTCCAGACTAAAGGAGATTAACTACAGATTTCGTTTGTTTCTTTGTTTCTAATTGCCGGAGGGTGTGTATACTTGCTGAAGAGAGGTGGAGAGAGGGAAAGGGAGAGAGCACCCCTCCATGGGATGTGGTCATGTCACAATCCCTTCTCCATTTCTACACACTGTTGGAATGTTGAGCACACACATACATGGGCCTAGTTTGTTTTTCAAGCTGCCAGGGAGGGATTTGAGTTGTGGTTGGACATGTAGCATCTGGCTCCCTTAACCATTAGGCTATGGGGCTGTCTCTAACTATGGTTTTTGATTTTTTTTTTTTTGGAGTGGTTTTCGTTATAGGGCTCATGCGCTTGCCAGACAGACAGAGAGAGACAGAGAGACAGCAAGCGAGAAATCACCCCCCAGGGGGGATGGTCACGCCGCAGTCCCTTCTCCTCCATTCTCCTCTCGGGATCTTGGGCACACACGCACACGCGCCCGGCGTGAGTTTTAAGCCACCAGGTCTGGGACGTGAACCTCGGTCGGCTACGTGAGAGTCCAGCAACATAGCCATTATGCTAACTGCTGGTTCCCTATGGTTTTTGATTTTTGATTGAATCCTGGGTCAAGAAAGTAAAACAGCTCAAGAGATATAATTGCAAATTAAAGAGAATTGACTAGGAGGCACCAACTTTTGTTCCCGCACAGAAAGAACAATTTAACATTAACTCGCCAGTGGAAATAGTTCTGAGAGAACTCTGGAGTACAATTAAGAACATGTAGCAACCCAGAGAAGCACAATATCCAAAGGTGGCCACACAGAAAAGCATAGAATGCGTTGATGTGCATCACTTGATCGATCCCCCATTCTGGCATGGCTTGGTACCAAGAGGTGTTCCCTGAGCCATGACCTCCCTCTTCCCTGTAGGGAGGCGTTCAAGATTGAGAGACACCTACCATTGCGTGGCATGGTCTGTTGATCACTCTGAAACTAGATGTAGATAGTTTCCTCATGGCTGTGCCCACCATCTCGCCAGTGGATGGCCCTCTTTTGATCGAGACTGAGCATGTTCTGCCCAGTGGACCCAGTTATGTACGATGTGATGGCTGTACAGGCCACCCCTACCACATATCTTCCTGCATTTTCACTGACTCACAGGCCATGGCTAACAGCCTTGTTGTCTGGTTAGGAGTATGACAACTGAGTGACTGGACTATTACGGAATAAGTAGCTGGACCAAGCAGCCACTTGGTTAGGCTGTGCCTGTGAAATCCCAATCTCAGTGTTCCCAGCCATTTTTTTTCTTTTCCCTTTAGCATGTTCTTCAGTTCAGGCCATCTTACTACTTCAGACAGTACCCACTGACCAAACTTGTTGCTTATCGTGTGGGTCTCTCTTCTATGATCCCACAGGGGTGGAGGATGGGACCAAGAAGTACCAGTGTGCTAGGATTCCTCTAGTGGTGCCAGGAATGTCTGATCCTTCCAGTCAGGTGGATGATGTCATCAGACATGTCCCTTTTTTTTTTTTTTTTTTTTACAGAAAATTACCTCCTTGGATGAGCAAGGCAGAAAGGTTTGGGTCAAACAACAAGGGCAGTGGGTGCCTACAGAGGGAGTAGTAGCATGGGAACAGGTACAGACAGCCTGGGTTACTATACCTGGACAGCAGGTACCACCCAAGTGCTAGAATACCTCCTACTACATACAGCAAGGATGGGAAGTGGGCAGGGTATGGGGAAACGAATCTCTCCTGTATTTGTGCCTGAAGAATATCTGTGGTACCTGGATCGACAATACCCTAGTTTATGTCAGCACAACAGTAGCAGCAGGTGATTATGTGAAGAGTCTCTGGATTTGGAATGTGCATATTCAGAGCATTACCCCCTGATGCAAATAGTCCATTAAGTGGGCTACTGCCATTCTGATGGAGTTCCCAGTGGCTATACCACTTTTAATTTTAGAGTTACACCCTCATTGTAGGTTATCTAGAACACAGAAACAAAACTAGAGACTGACTGTAAACATCACTATAGACACATCCACAAAGTCAGAATTGATTCAGGAGCCCAGTAATGTAATCCTAGATTTCCTATGCTTGGTAATTCACTGATCCTTTCTGGAGAGATGAAATGGCATTAGCTATAACAATAAAAAACATTATTCAGTAAATATATAATATGCCCCAAAGACTGCAGTAAGTGCTTTATATATATAATCTTATTTTGTCATTGTAACAAGCAACAGTGGTGTCATTTCCATCATGTAGATGAGACAGTTATGGTTCAGAAAAAATGAATTTTCCCTAGACAGCAAAACCTGTGCCTGTGATGGAATTTAGACATAGGCACGTCATATTTCCAAGTACATGCTCTTATGCACTGTTGAATAGTTCATGCATTTAAGGATGGCAGAACATTGTATCTGTTATGCATCATAAATGAGAGAGTTCTTATTGATGCCATTATTATTTTTAAAGTTTATGTATTCCTTCTATGAATGGAGACAGAGACAGAAGGACAGCACCACCTGCAGTATTTTTATGCCACAATGCACCCAGCTTCAGCCAGCTCTAAATCGTGAGCATACACATGGTCAGAGTATTTAGGGAGGTCTTTGGACATGAACCTGGAACCCCTACTACGTGGCCCAGCCTCATAAAGTACTGCATTTTACCACTGTGTCTACAATGTCCTTATGATTTTAATTTCAGATCATCAAAGGTCATATAAACTCCGGATTCTATTCTTCCTAGGTCCAGCATGGAATGTCCTTACTCTGAGAACCCTCAGTAAAACAGTGAGGAGGCCTTCTGGGGGTCAGGGCTTTGGTTGTAATTTTAATTGGGGGAAACCAGCTCAAAATCCTTTTTCTGTGAAGCATGCTCTTTCTGCTACTTATCGTGAACTCTCCTGTCCTGAAGATTGCCTTAGCTGCATCTCACAAATGTGTATATATATATATATATGTTATATATATATATATC